CCTAAATGTTTAAACTCGAAATACAACCAGAAAAAAGGCTGTGTCAGTGACACCAATGCAAACCAAATAGAAACTGGCTCCTGACCTCTGACACCTCTGGAAAAACGGTGACAGTTTGCTCTTAGTAATGACATATTGACATGTACAGTAACTGAAATGTTTAGTATCTGCCGTCTGTCTGTATTCACTGTGTGATTTTTTTTTCTCTTTGACACAAGTTGTGCTCACTAATTTTCAACACCTAGCTGGGATAACTGGACGCAGTTGAATTAGAAAGCCTCGGTTGATTGCACTGCCTAGCATGTGCCTTATATAACCTTCTAGTTAGACAGCACCACTTTTGCTGGTGGCAATTTATTGGGCTTTGGTTTCATGTATGAAGTTTGCCTCCATCAGGTGTACAGAATAGAATAAGTAAACGAGACAACTTTATACATCTAGACTCTGGCCATTTTAACTGGACTGTAGAAAGGGGTGTAGTCTAGAATAATATTAGCATCATTTCCATCTGCATGGAGAGTCATGATTTTGGCACTTTTGTCTGTTACAGCATATCGCAGAGGAACTTTGTGCCAATCTTCCGCTCGCTGAGTGTGGTGTCCTGCAGTAAGATTTCATAAGGAAATCAACAAATTTATATACATGCACACTTACACACAGCTATGTTTAGTACATTCAGTACATTTGTTGCATCATTATATAATTTTGTTTTTCAGTTTATGTTATTTCCATAATTTTGCTCAAATTGTTTCAGAACTTGTGAAGAAGAAGGCCATTCTAGGCAGTGCGAATTGTTGTCAAAGGTATAAAGAGCATTATTTTGTTTTTGTTCCTTTGTGACTTTTTTTCCCTTTTTCTTTTGTTAATTTTTTTGTTTTCAGTGCTTTCCATTTGAAATTGTTCGGCCCGAACTGCTGAAAACAAGGCTATGTTTTAATGGGTAACTATATTGTCTACCAAAAGCGAAATGAAATGAAAACATTTTTTTTTAGAAACTGCGTTTTGGTAGACGGACGTTAGGACAGGGCTCGACGTGAAGAGCTCCCGCCATTTCAGACCTTCACATGAAATCTGCACGACTCTTTCCATCTGTTTTTACAAACGCGGATCAGAACAAGTCGCAAGGGCACAGGCCAGAGCCTCTGCCCTCACACAGATCCCAGTGAAGCTTTTGAACATATGCAAAAATAGCATCTGAGGAGATAGTATTGGACTACTGCAGAAAGAAAAACACAGCTACCTCAGCTTAACTTAATTTAACGTTAAAAAAAAAAAATGACAAGCCGTTTACTGGGTACGAACAGTATTTGTAAAGTACTGCAATGTTGTTGCAACACAAACGCAAAAGCTAAGGTATTGGATTAATTCTTAGACGTGAAGAGTAACCCTGTGGCCACTGCAGTAATCCAGCGTTTCCTGTTTTTTAATCTCCTTCCTTTTTGTCTGTTTGCATTTGAGCCAAGAAGAAGAAGAATAATCCAGCTCATGAATTTTGGTGAAATGTTGTTTACTGTATGTACTGGTTTTTCAGATGGACGTCTTACATTTGCTTGTTCTTTCTGATCACACTAAACTACAAACTAAAGGCTATCACAGTGGCACCATATTTTTTGTCCATTTTGCGATTTTTCTTTTCTGCTCAAACCTAGGTGTTGACATAGTCTTTATGCTATTCTTGTTTATTTCTTTTCTAATTATTTATTAACATTATTAAACATGGTGTTTTTACAGTCTAATATCCATTAAACAGTCTTTTGTACTTATGAAATACAATTGGAAAATTGTTACTCAAGTTTTGATATTTGTGCTGAACGCAATGTAGCATAATTGTGTAGCAAGTTTGTGTGGAAAAGGGGGTTTTTTACAGGTCTCAGGTTCTTGCTGCATTAATTATCTTTCAACTTTTATATTTATTCTACGTTGATGTTGATTTTCATTTTTGATTTAGTGGTAAAAAGGACTGTGACATACTGGATGGTGCCTAAACAAACAGGCGAAACAATCTTCTTTTCAAACACGCCAGATCTTGAAAGGAACTCTACATGTTTGTTGTTTAATTGCTGCTGTGATACTGACCACTGTTATGAGTCACAACGACCTGGTTATGTCTCACGCCCACAGTCTGTTGCCACAATGTCACAGGATAAGAATAAATTTAACTCGCAAACGTGCTTAGAATCCGCCTTTTACTGTCATTTTTGAGATGTGTGAATTATAACTTTTTTTAATTAACATTTTCCCCTTTGAGTTATTGAAATATTGTGATCTCAAGATCTCAGAAACACCCAGCAATCAGTCTGTCAACTTCACAGATCAGGTGGTGTGGTTGGTTACAGTAAATAAGACGTATTCAGTTCCTGATTGTATGTTTTGTTGACGTTTCTCTCTCCCTCTTTTTTTATTTTTTTAATTTAACATTTTAACTTTCTACGCTTTCTGAGCTGGCAGGAAAAATGACAAACGCAGATTCAGAGGGCAAGGAATTAGCGGAAGTTTGGCAAGGTCAGGAAGAATAGATCTCGATCCGGTACCTTCAGGTACACGTCGGACCCAGCTTTGCCCATGAGAATCCGAGCAGCTTGGCGCCGAGTCCTCGCAATTTTCCCCCCCTGCTCAAAATGTTGGAGGCTTTTTATATTAAAACTGTTGGGCAGGTTTACCAGATGTCAGTTAGAAATTGAAATTCCGTCATTTTGCTCCAGAGCACAAAAAGTTGGGATGTTTCAGCATGCTGATAAGCTCTAGATTAATACACTTTGTCATCCCCTGTCATCGTCTACCCTTCCTTTCTCCTGGTGATGTGAAATCGCCTCCTGTTGACTGATGAGGTTAATCTTGTATGCAGAATCTCAGTGCGCTCACGACGAGTGATCCTTCTAATATTTCTCTCTTGTTTTAAATGATATGGTAGATTTTTTATTTTTTTCCTTCGGATGAATTAAATTTTTTTTTTGGGTTTTATTGTAGCCTTGCCATGTTTTTGGTATCGTTATTTCTTCTCATGTTCATCAAAATGTATAACTTCCTTTTTCCCTTTAAATGTGTTACTTTAGTGTAAGTTATATTTGAATTGAAACATTTACTGTAATTTCTGAAAAAACTGCTGTGACATACTTGAATAAAGGTGCAAATTGTATTCTGTGTAAAGTTTACTTTTTACTCATACAAAAAGTACATTATGTACAGATAACTCAGTATAAAACCCCACTAGTAATGTACAGATATACTCAGTGATATTAGGAATACACCCCTGCCCTGACCCCTTGACAGAGTGTGACATTGGCCTAATTTGACTATTTTAAATACCCATTTTGTACTGTCACCTTTATATTCCATCAATTTTTATACCTTGGATTTAAACTGACATTATATTGGTTGAGCACCATAAAATTCCTTTTTAGGTGACTTTTATTGAATGATGCTGTTGAAGCTGCATACAGTACAGCATTTAAGTGTGCAAAATGTGATATTTATAAAGGTTGCCCACTGCCATGGGGGTTGACCACTGCTATGAAAATTAATGTCATGACTCAAATATTATGTCAAGTTTTGTGGAGGAACTGAGAAAAATGTAAATGGGGTGTTCTTCAATATGATATTTTCATATTAGAAAAAATGCCTTTGGGGGCATTGGTCCACTCCTCAGCATTGTATGTGGATTATACAAGTCTTGAGTTGATTACCCTTGAATAATAACTGTTTTACATACAGGAGCAATATGAAGAGAAAACTGAAGAGCTACATTTAGATAATGGAATCTGCACATTACTGAGGTGTCATGTTACTTATGTTGATGAAGATTCTGCAAGGGTAGAGTGAAGTATCTGCAGTGTACAGCACATTGGTCTCTTCAGAGGTCATGGCTATTTTGCTAAAAAAAATATGTGCATGTATTTCAAATGCTATGCCTGCAAATCGTCCACCTGAACATTTTGATTCATTTTTTTTTCTCAGCATCATTTCAGTGGCTTCTGCACTTTGATTTCTAAGGGTAACACATGCGTGCATCATGAGTCAAACCCCCATCTCTGAATGCTTTTAGTTAACTCAAAGACAATGATCACTCTCTCATTACGGATCTAAGCTGTGTAATGATTCCACACAGGTGATAAAAAAAATATTTTCTGCTTCTACCGTGATGGACTTTCTGGCTCTCTGCATTGACAGATGGACTGACAAGCTGTCTCCCCTGCCAGACTAAACTGTTTATAGGTTGTCTGTATATCCTTCATTAATAATCTATGATTTTCTAAAGTAAACACCCACGTAAGAAGGTATATTAAGGATAACTGGGATTTGCTGTATTTCTACAATTGCTATTTAAACTAGTCATCAATTATTATATAAGTATTGCTTGAAGAAAACCCTATAAATGATAAGTGTTGGTAACTTATTAATGATCAGTAAAGACTGGACATTTAACCCTGGAATCAAATTGGTTCAAATTGTACTGACGTGGAATTCCTTCACCTGAGTCTTTTATGTATCTGCGGACAACCCTGTGCTGATATAAGTATACAGGAACCCCCCCTAATTTCAGGCAGCTGCTCTGCTTGCTATCCACTTGTCCCCTTTGTGTTGTGAAATGCCTACTGCTCTCTGATTGAGCAGGTGAATCACCCCGCTGTTTGCCCCTTTGCGCATACACTTATCTCGGTTTAGTGCAGAGTTGTCACCAGGCGTGATATTAAAAGCCAGATGTCACATCTTGCCCAACATCACCACAGGGGGGTCGGTGGTTCAAGGGTTGGGAAGACAACAAGGCTCAGACATCTCTCTAGGCTTTGAAAGGCCTGTTGACTCTGTGGCACATAATTGAGAGCCCAGCTGGAACTAAATGCGGTAATAACGGTGAGCCCCCAGCAACAGGTTTTTAGAAACTCACAACGCGCATATTTCTCAGATAAGAGTGACCTCCGCTCAATTAAGAATGGAGGCCTTCTAAGTCTTTCAAGCTGAGGGATGTGATTAGTATCGGTCTCCGTGGGCATAGTTGTGAGGGTAGTGTGGCCGAGTGGTCGAAGGCGCTGGATTAAGGCTCCAATCTCTTCAGAGACGAGGGTTAGAATCCCTCCGCAGCTGGTTTTATGGGCAGCAGAGTGGCATAGTGGTAAGGAGCAGGATTGCTGGCTCAATTCTCCACTGGGGCACTGCTGTTGTACCCTTGGCAAAGGTATTTAACCTACCATTGCCTCAGTAAATATCCAGCTGTATAAATGGATAGCCTAAAACTGTAACCTGTGTAATGCACTCTGGATAAGAGCATCTGCTAAATGACGATAATATAATGTTATATAGTTACTGTACCAGCAGTGAGCTCAGTGTCCCTTTCTTCAGAGGAATGCTGGGTGCTTTGTCAATGTGGGTGTACAGTGTGCACCGCTTGCCTAGTGCACCCACACAATCAGAAGATCAAATGAAATTTTTGCGTGGCATAACCCTCGAGTACTGGCGCCATCCAGCACCTGTCAGGCCGTGGATAACATCTCGGCAGCACGGCCGCTCTGATTGGCTCTCCCCTGATCGCTCATTCCTCTCGCGGAGCCGCCCCCCCTCAGAGGCCCGGCCTGCCCGCACCGCTCACACTTGTCAGAATTTTCGCTTCGCTCTTGTTTGAACGCCGCGACCTCATTTTCCGCCGGGGGTCAACCGTGCCGGACGCTGCGAGTTTGCTTAACCCGGGCGAACCGGAGGGAGCGCGGCGTCGAGGAACTGGCGAAACACGGTTATTAAAAATGAGCGTTCCTTGTCAGGGCCGTTTTTTGCTCGCTGCTCTCCATGGCGGCTGCTACTTGATGGCGGGCCCCTGTGCTGTTGCAGTCTGTTACGTGTTGCACAGTTAGGCTGGTCTGGAAGACTACAACCAGAATGCCACAATACATACATACTACTGTGAGAGCTGACTGCTGGATCTGAAAGGTTAATATAGGGAGCCAGCATGAAGCTGTTTATGCACTGATCTCTGATAGTCTGGACATGACAAATGTAATGTCAGACTGCCCAGAATGGGTTACTTGCAATAAATACTATACAAGGTGAAACTCTGCAAGTAGTCAAATTCATGATGCATGACACTTCTCAATGGTCACACTAACCTGTCTACTTTTGAAAATGATCAAGACCGTTTTGTCAGGCCAAATCAGTTTGGTGTCTCAAGGCCACTGATTCCATACTTCTGCACACAGGCGTCTGGGAGATGAGCCAAACGTTTCAGCTTGGCTGGGTCCTCTTCAGGAACTCTCGGAAGCTTGTCCAGTGCTGATGTCCTCATTGAACTCCACAGAGAGCATAAAGCTAATTCATGGCTTTAACCTTGGGCTCTCTCATTAGAAGAATGGTTTACTGGCCTCTGGGGCTGTAGGACTCATCCTGCAGTTGAGACGTGTGCCTTGCTGCTTGAGCCACACATGAGCCCAGGTTCTGCTCCTCATGGGGGATGCTGCATTAGTCTATAGTAGGTCACACGTGTGCTGTATTTTACACTCTATGGCCAGTATCCTGTTTGGATTTGAATGAGCTTCTGCGGTTTTTGAGTACAGGGAAGAATTTAAGGGACGGGTCATATTCCTATAGGTCTTGGCAATGGTGAAGTGGATGTGATGGTGGAAATCCACACACGGCACACACCCACCCCTCAGTATAGTATCTGTCATCTCTGTGTCCAAGGTGCGAGATCTTGCTCATAGTAGCCCTTTCTGCTCTCAAAGAACCAGCTATTACCGTACAATATTCAAACAGGAAGTGGTTGGCAAGACTGTTTCACTTCCAGGTTCTCTTTTTGTGAACACATTGTTCAGACTATGATCACATGATATACATGTGACAAACTGCATGTCAACACAACGAAGATCAAGTGTAAGGCATTCATTTCTATTATGTTTTAAAGTTATTGGTAACCATTCAGTAGCTACCCTACTCCTATATACAAAATACCCTTTTTTCCTACAGCAGGCTGCCATAGTTACAGTCTTACCATCTTGGTCAAGACAATCGTGAGAGCAATTTTTAAGCTAGCAAATTTAGCTTGACAGTCTCCCAGCTAATGCCGTCCGTCTTCTTTCATATGATTTAATCCAACACTAATGCATCCCAACGTTTCTCCTGCTACGCTCTCCAAAACCAAATTCGACACGAACCAGTTAAAGCTAAAAGTAGTCGCATCTAATCAAACTGCTGCTGGCTAACAGTGGTGGCAAGTCAGACTGACACTATGGTTGTGGGGAAGTGTGGTACTGGCACAGAAACTACTGCCTTTTGGCAAGAAGCCCTTCCCCTCCCCTGGGGGGGAAGGAACAAGTTTATGATGTTGCTGATCTCAGCACAGTACCCTGACTGGCAGAGGAAAGACAAAGCTCTTTTTTGTGACTGATGCGATTAGTGAATACTAGCGATCCAGGAAATTGCAGTTGAAATGAGTCATTTAATACATATGTAATCAGATGCTATCTGGATCCGTCAGGAGCCTCTGGCAACAAGACCCAGGTGTCGGGACAGAATGAATGCCACAAAAATAAACACGCTGGGTTTTAATGCATTGTAACTCACTCAGGCGGACGGTGTAAAATGATAAAAGGAAATCTAAAGTAAATATTCAAAGAACTGTTAACTTGTTAAATGGATAATGAATTTGAAAGATTTCCTTTAATGAAGTGTGTTTATTACATGAAGGATTAAAGGGTGTAGATTAAGGATGGGCTAACTTCAATCGCTGACGAGATCATAACCCATACATTAGCAGAGAGAACGGAGCCTTTCATAACAGTGACAAGTTTATCCCCTGTGTTTAATGCTGGCTCTGTATGTATGACTGCAAAGCGTCTTCTGAATGATGCACAGCCCCCACGGCAACAGGGTCATGAGTTCTGAACTGAGAAACTGACAGCGTTTCCCGAGGTTCTACAGGAACACAGCTCCATGACTGATGAGGGTGTACTCTTTTTTGTCTTCCCTGACAGCCCAATCATGACTTTCACTACAGTCGTCTTTTCATTTTTGCGAAGAGAAAAGATTTTTCATGCATAAAAAGTGTGTGCCTCTTCTCTGCATCAGCATCTCCATGTACTAGCATAGGCCGTGTGTATGCACAATACACATTTTTGTCATTTAGCAGACGCTCTTATCCAGAGTAACTTACAAAGGTTTTATATAGGGGGTTATTTACTGAAGCAATTATGGGTTAAGTACCTTGCTCAAGGGTACAACAGCAGTGCCCTGGTGGGGAAACTGAACCGGCAACCTTTCGGTTACAAGCCCTGGCCCTTAACACTATGCCACCCTGCGGTTTTAATGTCAAAGACAGAAATGTATAAAAGGCAAAAATAAGCAGATCAAATAGAACTGGATCCGTTTCAAATGTACAACACACACACACACACACAAAAATCCTAACAGGGGTTCAACTCAAATAGGCACGCTGTGGAAAAGAACATAAACCACCAGTAAATTCTGTCTTAGTTTTCCATAATGTCTTAATTGCAAGTCAAGTCTTTAAAGTTGGAATTTGAGCATTCATTTATCTATCTGTCCGTGACAAGTCCTCTCAATCAACTAATTCAGAATATTAAGGTGGCCCCAAGTGTATATCTGGTTTCCCTGCTAGTTTCAGTGTTGTACACCTACTTAAAACCTAAACCCAGTATACCTTATACAATACTTTATGTAAGTAAATACAAAACATATCTTTGGATGTCCATTAAATATCTAGGTAAATCAATGGATCTACTTCCCTCACTTGATGAGAATGAAATTTATTCCATGTGTAATTAGTAAAATGTTCCTTACCTTATGGAGTCTTACCTTGCCAACAGTGTTATATGGCTGTAGTCTTCTCTTGCCTGATGAGACTGTGAATCTAAGTGAGACTGGACCTGGCAGACTACCTGGGAAAACCAGGTTGGTGCTGGAAGTCGTGCTACATGACCAGTAGGGGGCAGCCTTTCCTCTGGACCAAGTGGAAAAGGAATGCCCCAATGAAGTAGTGGTGATATTCCATCCTGCTCATATGATGTTAGACCAAGGTCCTGACTCACTGTTGTCGTTAAGATCACTGGTTCTCTTACCATGGGGGAGGAGGGAGAACCTGATGTCCAGACTACATCTGGCTTTCTAATCATCCCCCAGTTTAACTTACTAAGAAGCCCCTCCTTTTTCAACTCACCATATACTATAAAATGCTTTGAAAGGTGATATATGAATGCAATATATTATATATATATACACCATTAAATGGACTCACCTTGAAGGAGCTGCAGTTGATGTGGAGAACACTTTGAGCTTCTTCTTGAACAAAACTTTATTTATGCACCGTTATTTTTTTCCCACCTGAATTATGGGATGAAACTAAGTCAGAAAACAAACAACCACTTTATGTGTGAAACAGTCAAGTGACACTCCAACAACTCTTTCATATCACGTTAAATGTCTTATGTATTATTATTATCAACAACATTTTGTAAAGTTTTCCTTTTTTGGTACAGATTTACATACGTTAGGTTTTCTTGCCTATCCAATTTTCTACAAACATTTATACAGAACCACTTTCTGTAAAATAAACATCCTCTCCATCCCTAATGTATTGAATCATCCATCATTCCCACCCTGACCTCCCCCCCATTCATGTACACCCCCACCCCCACCCCCAGCCTCATGGCCTGTGGGTTTGTAAGAAATGAAAATAAAAAAAAAAAAAAAAAGATACAGAAAAAATAAAACAAATGAACAAAGACCCCAGAAAATCAATATCAAGTCAATCAAGTCAAATGCATCAATCCTCAGAGCCTCAAATTACTTGTGCTTTGGCTGGGTGCAAGAGAAAATGGCTCCATTGATCTACTACCGGTCCATTTCTGAGTCCATTTACATCTCATTCTGAAACCAGGTGGAATGCTTGCTCTCTCACACCACACCGCTTGCGTTCTTTGTACAGTACAGTCATCAGACCCAAAGGTTTCGTCCCTCACCCAGAAAGGGACATGGCATCTCCGGCTGGCGCTGTCCATGGGAAACAAAATGCTTTTCAACGGATGTTTTTGAGGCACTCTCTCTCTCTCTTTCTCTCTGCTGCCGCACTCTTACATACTCTT